CAAATTGCCAGCATTAATACAGCAGGCAATTCCCTCAGTCTCCGTTTCAATGATTTTAAACAATTCTGCTAAAGTCACAAGACTGCAATACAACACCTACAGCCTGACCTTTAAGTTCTGAGATAACACAGCCATGCTTCATGGCAAACCCTTAAATGAAACAACAGCACGCAGAATCAACACAAACAACTGCTCCTAAGCTTGTTTTTCTAGTATGTTAGCTACACAAAGTCTTGGATTCAGAAATCCTAGGTGCTAAGGCCAGGTGATTCTGCCAGCAATGTCAGGAAAGTCACTCAAGCAGAAGTGAGAAGGGAAGTCCGAGTTGGCGTCAGCTCTTTAGGGTTGTCTAGTGCAATAAAGGATGAAATGGTTTACTGTATATTGGCCTGAAAACCGAATACCCAAACCTTCGAGCTGTGGAAGTGTCATAGGAAGACACTCTGTTGTGTTGACACCTTAAGGAAAAAAAGAGCTATGAAAGAAAACTGGAGAAGGAAGAAAATATCTGGCATCTCAATGGCCAACTAAAAACATATTTTCTTCCAAGACAAAGCTTATATTGGGGCAAGAAAATAAAAACTACAAACGTCATAAAAGATAAAAACTTTCCTCACAATATAGTAGCCTTGTTAGTTATTACATTTAGAAAGTTTTAAATCTAACATTATTACTATAGTGCTGAATATCCAGCAGACTGCTTTAAACTAATTATATCATTCATCTTAACAAAGAGGATTGTGGGTCATGCAGGGTACTGGAAGAGTGCCAGGGATGGTGGACCAAAGGTAGGACTCAGTGGTCACATTAAAGAAGTCGCTCTCTTTCTCACACAAGGTGTAAAAGTGAACACGCATTAAAAATTGAGTATCCGATGTCACTCCCTGCCAAAGTGAAGTATCATTGTTGATGGAATGGTACAGTGATCCTTTCCTGTGCCCATGCAGGGAAGCTGAGAAAGGTCTGGCTATTGATTCCTCAGGCAACAGATGGCCAAAGCTAATCCCTGTCTGTGTCCATGCATTCTCTCAATGCTACCCATTGGTTAAAAAAAAAAAACACTGTGCATTACTACCAGCAAATGAACAATGTATCCTCTGTCATCATCTTCTAAGACACCACTTCAAAACAACAGATTTCGCTACCAGTATTCATTTCAAAAGCTTTTCATGGTTTCCAGCTGACTACTCAATATATTTTCTTCTTCTGAGAACATAATCTTACAATAAATCAATGAACAAACAGCGTCTCGCATAAATATGAGAGACTATTTTTAGGAGTTTACAGACGGGCAAACAGATTAGGAACTAGAGCATCCGATCTGAGTCTCGAGATAATGAAATACTTCCTTTCCACAAGAAGCAATAGACAAACTCTTTCAGAAGGAGGTCACACTTAGGGCAGGGGCTGTTTAGTCTTCAAATTAAGCCATTTGAATCTTGTTTCCCCGAGGTGTTCTCAACTCCTGACCTTGATTTGGTAAACTTGAAACATATCCGAACTTATTTCCTTTCCATTATCTGAGAATTATGCAAACTATGCACATAATATGCCCTACCATGCCGGATCTGGGCGCTCAAATATGCCCTTATTGTTTACCATCCCTAGGGAACCAGAGATGCACTGAGAAAACAACTCATACTGAGACATCTTCCCATTGAGCCAGACACACACACACAAACATACGACACCACACACACACACAAACATACGACACCACACACACACACACACACACACACACACACACACCGGACTCACAAAGTTGCCTGTGAACAATGAAAAAGGGGAGTAGTCTTCTGATATGCTCGCAAGGGTCAATGGGGTCTTGCAAAAATTAGATAACTTGATCAGCGGGCATTCGAGGACTAGCTCAAACTCAGCTACATCTAATGTAATTTCCCTAAATTACATCGCACTAAACCACTTGAGCAACATCTGCTGATCTTTCCCTGAGATCTCGAGGTTGGTCTAAGACCCGAGGGATGAGACCAAAGAGCCCAAGTGAAAAGATCCGAGACTTAATTAGCCCTGACCACACTATGTTGGGACAGCCGTAAAGTCCCACAGGGTTCACATGAAGAGTCCCTCAGTGCTGACAGGTGCCCACCATGACACACAGAGAGAGAGGAAATTAATCCGCTAACACAAACAAATCGCCCTCGGGCCTGTTTTCTGTCAGGAGTAGAGACACAAAGGCCATTGATTTGAACTCTCTGAACACACGGAAAGTGTTTTTGACGGGTACCCTGCTGTCAGACTTTCGGGGTGTTTGACTCCTAATCCACCCTGAGGGGGTTTCAAATGACCACACAAAGCAGCACGACTATTCACTCAGCCATTTAAAGCAGTATATCTCCATTTAGGGGGGAATATGAACAATTCACAAAATGCTTGTAGCTGAAACCAACAGGACACAGGTGTGTGTGTGTGTGTGTGTGTGTGTGTGTGTGTGTGTGTGTGTGTGTGTGTGTGTGTGTGTGTGTGTTTCTTAGTTGGCCCCAAACCCTACTCTCAAGAGAAGTGTTTCTGACTAAATTTAGCTAGGCTGAACATAATTACATTGGATTTTTGATAATTAAATTGACAACAAAATATACAGCAACTCATCAGGTGAGCATTCAGAGCCATCTGCACCTCATTTGACATGCAACAAGACATTTGGGTCGGATATCTTTAGTCTTCGACATTTCATTTACATGCCACTCGGTTTCTAACAGATGAAAACAAAGTATTTGCCTGAATTTGAATAATAGATGCACCTAAAACAAAGACGGCGGAGCTACAAAGGGTTTCAGCCTGCAAAGCACACAATCCCCTTCAATTTGGGCATCAAAAACTCCAAACCCAGGAGAGAGAATAAAACCGCAGATTTACTGGGTGGACTGCCAAGATGTTCGAAGCAACAGCTGGCTGCCAAGGTTACTGCTGAAGGAACAACAAAAAAAAACTATTTCTCTTTAAAGCGTTACAAATTAAGCGAGACTAATCCATTTCGGACCGTTGCAGGGTTTTCAACACCATTGAGTAATGAGTACTTTTGGATGATCTCTCTTAGGATGAAGACCAGTGACAGAATGAGCATTAATGCTATTAGATTGAAGATAATCATTTGCAAAGGATATAAAATGGTCTGTTATTTGACAAGCATAACACTCTACAGTTTCAAATTGACAATGTATAGAATAAACAGTAGACCATTTGGAAAAATAATAATGGGATATGCAAGCTATATGACCTCCTTTCTTCTGTGCGACACAAAAGGAGATATTTTGAAGAATGGCTTTTTTCAAGTAGCAACAATCAATGGCAAAAGCAACAAAAAGGGTCAAAATCACCATGATATTAACATAAAAATAGTCCACATGACTTTTGTTCCATTTCTCAAGCATTGAGAAGAACTATGATACCTTTGTGTGCGGGGAAAAATATCTAATCATCATTCATGAAGACTGTGACATCACCCCAGCACTTCCTGGTGAGTTTGTGGGATAAGCAGCCATACTTTACTCAATGACTTGTGCGTTTTCATTACTTTGAATTGCAATAAATCTGAATTATTCCATACAAAATAGAGGAACAAACTTCTCTGAGTAGGCATGGGACAATAACTGTTTTCAAGGTATAACACGGTTTGGAAAAGTCAAGGTTTTAAAACTGCTAACATTTTCTGGTATACCGTTCCTACGGTATGTGTAGGATTGTTTATTTACCTTTTTTTTTTTTCTTTAGCACAACAGTATCTCAAGCAGAAAAGATATCCAAAGATGCAATTTTAAATCGTAAAGAAATCAGTGTTTTTGAAACAAATGAAGACAGCAGAATGATTCATTTGAATTATTTAGCCTAATATGTTTACTGCTCCAAAATATTATAAATGTTTCTCAAAATAAAATATTTTGTTAAAAATTGGGGGTGGAGGTGGGGTTGTTTTTTACCCAGACATTAACAAATAAAATATTTTAGAGCAGTAATCATAATACCATAAAACTGATATTTTTAACTAAGTTTGTCATACCGCCAGAATCTCTGAGTTAACTTGTGTGTACAAATACAATTATTGTACATATTGAAATCCCTAATGTTGCAAATCTCTCTTTTATCATAATGGAATAGCAAAGTGATACCTGCAAGTGGTACCCGATTTGAATACTGTGCCAATATGAACATGTATAGCATGAATGTAATCTTGACAGCCTGCTCTGATTCATTACTCATATTTCATGTGAAGCAACTAATGCCGGTTGTTCACAGTGTACGTGGTAGGTCATGTATTGTTCAATTTGTTTCATGGAAATTTGTGTTTTGTCATCCTAATCATATGACTTTTAGCTTACTAAGGAAGAAAGTAAACATATTCAGTCAAGACTAATGACTCGTTCAGGTCAATGACGAGTCCAATTCTGGATTCGGTAGCAGATGAAAGGCCTTTCCTTACATAAAGCTAAGCATGAAATGAGGTTCAAAGACTTTGAATTTGTGCGTATTACTTTTGTTTTTCACTGAATAAAAAACCCATAATAGTTTAAAACAAAATGGGGTGAGCTAAATCAAGAGTTAATTTCAAGATAAGATTGACTAATAAGTTTTAATAAGCAAAAAGAAAAGGACAAAAGCGAAAAAAATATAAGATTTCCAAGCATAACACAAAGCTCGAGTGCACACAAACACGCTGTCAGAGATGGTTTGTTTTCATTTTCCCTCATCCCAAAACACTGGATAACATAAAACTACTAAAATCGCACCCTGTTGTGTGCTTTAAGCGAAGGAACACCGGCTACATCAACGCCAAATCATGTTTATCTAAAACAAATGAATGCAATATTTCAACCCGCTTTCACAAAACCAGCTATTGTTAAGCAAAAACACGCGCTGTGGAGCCGGATGGATCTGTATGAACAAAACCCCACACTGAGCTCTGCCGGAGTTCACCTTTAAGAAAAGTTTCTTTCGGAACAAGTTCAAATATAAGAAACAGATTCAACTGCAAGTCATCTTACCTCGCCAAGAACGAGACGACAATCCCATTGTATGTGAAAATAATACAACGCAACGATTCCTTCTGTCAACACACGCGTTATTTCCCAAAGAGACGCGCCTTCCACAATAGAAGCGCAACAACTCAACAGATCTCAGGACACAGCAAGCGGCTGACTGACAGCCCCAGCGCCGCAAACCCCGCCTTTTCAGTGCGCTGATTGGCTTCAGCCTAGAATGAGCCCCGCCTTCTATAATAAGGGCGTATAGTTGGCTATCTAACCTCTCAATCATGCTCTTTAAAGGGACTGCTCAGGACATTTGTGCGACTCATTTATGTCAGGTAAATTGTACATATCGTGTAAAAGATGTAATCAATTAATTAATTTAAAAATATTGAATGCAGAATTATGCTGTAAATGTCCATTTTATTGTATGTATGTTTGTAATACTCGTTAATTTAATCTAAGAAATTGCCTCAGGGTAATTCACAAGAACATAAACACATTATGGCCATTAGATGGAAATTATTCGTGAAAGGGCGAATAAGCAAGTGAAATTCTTTGGTTTGGTCACACTTCATCCTGGTGGTCATTTCAAAAGCTTTTTAAATATGCAATGGATGAGGCATATTTGCCCTCAAAGCAGTTTTTATCGTTCTTTCACCCATGAAAAAATACATGATTCGCATTTTCTAGTGAGTAAACACATTTAGTGCTATAAATAATTTTAATGAGATTTTTAAAGTCTGTTTGTTGCCTAGAAGCAAAATTATGCAACAGTAGAATGGATGTGATTATACTTAGTGGTGTAAAGTAACATTACAAATACCCAAAGTATTGTAATTGAGTAGTTTTTCTTAGGAATTGTAATTTGCTAAGTAGTATTAAAAATTTGCACTTTTACTTTCCCTTGAGTACATTTTTAGTGTCGTATCGGTAATCTTTTACTCCACTATTTTCCTTCAACCTGTTGTCACTATGGTGTCTATGGTGATTGGCTAATAATTGGCTAATAATAATTGGCTAGAAAAAATCAGTGATGTAATTCCTGTCCAATCAAATCACACATAGAAAGTAAATCACATCATACTGAACAACCTAAAGACAGGGGTGCTTTATCAATGCAGCAAACCTTTTAGAAGCATTAAAAATTTCCAAGAAGATGTCCAAAATCTTTACACGCAATGACCCAGAGGCATGTTATAGATGGCATGTCGACCCTATGATGACTGAAATCACCAAACAGCCTTAAACAATCACTATATGGATTGAACAAGGAATGGAAGAAAGGACTGAATGAAGGCAGGACCGAACTAATGAAGAAAGGAAGGACCAAATGAATGAAGGAAGGATTCAAGGAGGGACTGAACAAACTAAGGAAGGAAGGAATGAACGAATGGATGAATCAATAAACAAAGGAACTAATAAAGGAAGAAAAAAATATGAATGAATAAGCAAATTAATGAGTGAACAAATGAAGGGAGGAATAAAAAAGGACCAAATGAACGAAGGAAGGTTTCAAGAAGGAACTTGACAAACAATCTAAGGAAGGAAGGAATGAACAAATGAATGAAAAAAGAACCTAATGAAGGATGGAACAAAAATATGAACGAACAAACAAATTAATGAGAGAACGAATAAAGGAAAGACTGAATTAAAGCACAAATTAATGAAGGAAGGATCCAAGGAAGGACTGAACAAACTAAGAAAGGAATGAATAATTCAACGAACGAACAAACGAATGAATGAATGAATGAATGAATGAATGAAGGACCTAATGAAGGAACAAAATATGAAAGAAAAAACAAATGAAGGGAGGACCTAAGGAAGGACTAAATGAATGAAGGAAAGATTCAAGGAAGGACTGAACAAACTAAGGACTGAATGAATGAATGAAGGACCCAATGAAGGAAGGAATAAAAATATGAACAAACGAATAAATGAAGGGAGGAACAAAGGACGGAACAACGAAGGAAGGAAGAAAGGAAGGAATGAACAAATAAACGAATGAATTAACAAAAGACCTAATGAATAATAATTAATAATTCCCTACATTTATATAGTGCTTTTTTCTGGGCACTCAAAGCGCTTTACACATAAAGAGGAATCTCCTGATCCACCACCAGTGCACACCATCCACCTGGATGACGCGACGGCAGCCATTTTGTGCCAGTTCACCACACACTAGCTGATTGGTGGAGAAAATAACAGAGTGATGAAGCCAGTTATGATATGGGGAGGGTTAGGAGGCCATGACGGACAGATTCCAGTGGGTGAAATTGGCCAGAATGCCGGGGTTAAACCCCTACTCTTTCCGAAGGACATCCAGAGATTTTTAACGACCACAGAGAGTCGGGACCTCGGTTTAACGTCTCGTCCAAAAGACGGTGCTCACTGAGCAGTATAAAGTCCCCATTACTATACAGGGCATTAGGACCCACACAGACCCCAGGTTGGGCGCCCCCTGCTGGCCTCACTAACACCACATCCGACAGCAACCTAGCTCACCCATCCAGGTACTGACTGGGCGCAGCCCTGCTTAGCTTCAGTGGGTGACCACTAATAACGGAAGCAAGAAAAATATAAACAAAAAAAAAAAAAAAACAAATTAATGAGCAAACAAATAAAGGGAGAAACGAACAAACAAATGAATAAAATAAGGACTGAACAAACTAATGAAGGAATGAACAAATGAATGAACAAAGGATCTAATGAAGGAAGGAACAAAAATATGACCTAATGAGCGAACGAATGAAGGAATGAACGAACAAACGAATGAATAAAGGAAGGACAGAACAAACAAACAAGGAAGGTTGGAAGGAAGATCACTAAGTGCACTACAGAAAGTAACGTTTACACATCCCTGCACAAACTGCATGCAATCGCATCAACTTTTTTTCACAGTTTAATACTCACTACTCTTGAGTACTTTTTACTCATATTTTGAGTATTATTTATAACAGATACTTTTACTCTACTCACACTGCAATTTTGGGCAAGTAATGGTACATTTACTTGAGTATGATTTTTCAGGTGAGGTAGTGGTGCAGTAGGTATCGCTGTCGCCTCACAGCAAGAAGGTCGCTGGGTCGAACCTCGGCTCAGTTGGCGTTTCTGTGTGGAGTTTGCATGTTCTCCCTGCCTTCGTGTGGGTTTCCTCCGGGTGCTCCGGTTTCCCTCACAGTCCAAAGACATGTGGTACAGTTGAATTGAGTAGACTAAATTGTCCGTAGTGTATGAGTGTGTGTGTGAATGTGTGTGGATGTTTCCCAGAGATGGGTTGTGGCTGGAAGGGCATCCGTTGCGTAAAAACTTGCTGGATAAGTTGGCGGTTCATTCTACTGTGGCGACGCCGGATCAATAAAGGGACAAAGCCGACAAGAAAATGAATGATTTTTCAATACTCTTTCCACCACTGATTATAATAAATATGAGTTTGTTTATTTATTAAATGCAGTATTTTAGTGTTTACTTAAGTAAGTATGTCAATGAAAACAAATAGTGAGTAATATTACAGTTAAATCTTAACAGCAGTGTTTAATTTAGCATGACTGTTTACTATAATTACATTTTTATTTTTAACGTTTACTATAACTACAATTTCAGATTTGGTTTCACAACAAATATTTACACAAAAGCCTTTGAATGATATAGTTTCTATTTGTTAACAGTATGCTTTATATAAATCTTAAAAAATTGTCAAAACGTTGACTTATGATCACACACAAGTCTCATATTATTGGTATGGACAATCAAGCTTTAGTAAAATGTCAAGCTATTTTTAGCTCTGATGTGATCTACCGTGTGACACGTGTGTCATCATATAGCCTGGCAAGAGTCATGTTTCCAAAAGTGTAAAGTGCTTTTTCACTGACCTAAATTTACATTATCTTTACATTAAAGCAGTCAACATATAAATCACACCTACACTGATGCACTTTATTTTGTACAACATATACTGAGAAATGTGAGAATAACAGCACATTATCACAAAAATGCATGAATAATCCTTTTAATGGCATAAATGTTCCATGATAGTGATGTACAAATTGTTTTCTGTGGTAGTTTGGTTGTAAATGTGAGTGTAATTCATATGCAGGTCTTTTCTTGTTATTATTTGCACTGTGAATCAGCAGGATGAGGTCTATGGGCCTGCTGATTGTGTTGTTTGGCTGTAAATGGGTGTGCACAGATGTGCCTTTTTATTGTACAATTTGACCCTTCCCACCCGTCCTATGTGTTTATTAACACGGGGCAAGTGCGCCATCTGAAGGTGACCACTGACAATTTAGAATTTATTTTCCTGCGTTATGCATTACACGGATCAACCTTTAAATGTTAGTTGATATAAAGAGGAATATAACCAAACTTCAATAATACATGTACAGCTTATTAAATGTACAGCAGACAAAATAGTGTGGAGTCCAAAACAAACCCATTCATGAAATAATCTTGCCAACAAAGAAAATGTGACATGGTGACATGTTCAAAACAGCCATCTCATCATCCATGGAGAGGGTGGGAGACCTGTCCCGCCGCGCTGGCTTTGATTGATAGCTCTGCAATTAAAAAAAGCAATTAACCTAGCATTAAAAAACGAGACGTAATTGTTTTTCATTATAAATCTGCATGTGTCATATCATATACTCCTTCAAATGCTCATTTTTAAGCACATTTTCTAAGTCTAAAGGGAAATACTGGCCTAATTCTGAATGCTGTGTTTGGGGCCCAACACAGCTGTCAAACATGGCGATCAATTTCCCAGTGATTCCCATGAGGTATTGCCTTTATTACAGCCTGGAGTATTTGTCGGTGTAATAAAGGCCGTGTCATTTCATGATTAAAAACTGGAGCATAAAAATATCCAGTGCAATTACAGACTTGCAGTCTTTTTCATTCTTTATATCAGGTGTCTCCACAATAAAATGCATACAATTCCAGCACAGCTTCTATTTGCATAGCCTATGAAACTGCTGTTGAAGCTTTCACATATTAGCCTATTAAATGCATTATATCTCATAGATGTAGTCACTCTTGTAAATGAAACAAAAATGAAAACGATGCTCAGTGAAGTACTGAAGAATCATCCAAACAGTTTCCCCCCTCATTTGCACATGCCCAACAGATGGAGCTATTTGCTAATCTCATCATACTTTGGCAGGTCACATAGTCTG